AGTAGCAATCAAATGTTCGATAAAACGAGCAAAAGTTAAGCACATAAAGGTAGAACGCAGCATGGACCCAAACCAAAAATGTGCATAGGAATTGCAAATAGAGGGCACAGGGAAGAAACAGAAAAGAAAACAAAAGAAAAAAACAACAGAAAGAAAGGAAAAAACAGGAAAAAGTACACTACACACAACGCGTCATGAATACGTCTTTCTACACCGGTCTACACTAAACGCCTTCAGACGTTGTCTCTGTGTGCGTACACCTAAAAACCGCAGTAACAACATCAATTTCTTGTTCCGTCGTTCCCACCGGTTTCACCGCTGCTGGTGCTGGCTTGACCGACTTGGCAGGTGCTGGTTTGGCGGCAGTCTTTTTAATGACTTTTTTCTTCACGTTCTGGACCTTCTCCTTTACCTTCTTCTGTATTTCACATGTCTCCTTGGACGCTTCTTCCTTCTGCATGTCCTCTAACACCTGCTTCACGCGCCCAAAGATAAAAGTATCCGCCCAGTGTTTTATTTTGCGCATGAACTCAGAGTCCGGTGTTATCACACCTTCGTTTTCATTACAGTCTTCTGCACTGTTCTGGTCTCTGTCCTGCTCTGGCCGCGCACACTTCTGCCCTGTGACGCGTGCACTTCCTACCTGGCCTCCTGCCAAACCTTTCTTCCATTCGTGCAGCTTAGTCTGTATGCTTGGTGCAATACCACGTAATCCGAATATAACCGGCCCATAATCCTGGTCCTCACACGCGCCTGGCTCATATTGCTGTTGTCCTGGTTTATCCGCTTGCCTCAGTGCTTCCGCAACCTTCTGTATTACTTCCCTTTGGTCTTCATTATTCCCATACACCTGGAGTAACACCTCAGTGGCCAGTGTACACCGTAAATATTCCGTAAACTGGTCTGCGGTACCGGCGTGCACCGTCCTGTTCTGACACGTCTTGTGCTTGATGTTATAAGTATATCCCTTTATGTATAGCATAAGGCTTGCAATTTCATGGCACCTGCGTTTGCATGTGGACATATTTGGCTGCGCTCCGGTATATATACTTCCACAAATACCGGCGTTCGCGCCGCTACCTTGGGTGATCGTCCGTGTTACGTCCTTGAAGATAATGTTAACCTCGCGCATTAATTGTTTCTGCGAGTGCAATAATGCATATATGTTTGTACATTTTTTCTGTTCCCTTTTCTCTTAAATCCATCTACATGTAACCACAGCTCTTTTCAGATGCATGCAGTCTCCGTGAACTGTATGTGTGCTGAGCATGCCTCCCGTACTTTACGACATGTATATAAATAGTCTACGCACACATACAGGTTCCAATTGCCCATGTATATATATTGCTGTCCAAAGTGCACTATTCCCCTTCCTACGAAATGTTGTGTACAATTGAACTTACCAAATATCCTTTTCCGTCGTTTATACCCCTTCTCTGTAGATAATACTGCCATGCACGTAGAAAGTTCCTTATGTCTGCATCATAGTCGTTACCCATAGTGAACACACTTTATTCGCGTATTAAAAAAGTACGACTACTACTACTACTACTACCACAGCACCGCTCAATAACAACAACAATAAAAAACAAAATATACACACACACCGTCTCCGTCAACGCCTCTCCGTCAACCAAGTCTCCGTCCACACCTCTCCGTCAACGCCTCCCCCGTCAACGCCTCTCTGCGTGCACGCTTCTCTGTCAACGCCTCTCGGTCACACCGTCTCCGTCACACCGTTCTACGTCACCCCGTCTCAGTCAACGCTTCTCTGTCACGCTTCGGTGCGCAGTTCTGGAAGTCGTCATAAACAGACAAAATACTTGCTTTCTTCCGCATGCCTCCATCCGCCGGCCGCTTTCCTGCCTTCGTTGTAAAAGAAGAAGGGAAAAAAAACGTACTACTACCGCTACCTACGCACACAACGCGTCATGAATATACACCCCCCGCCTTC